TCTTCACAGAAGCAAAGCCCAAACCACACCCACTGCTGTGGAGCACATTCTAACCCACAGCGCCCCTAGAGGGCAGAGTGGAACTGCCCCACAGGGTCTCCAAGGCTGTCAATCTTCACAGAAACAAACTGCCTCATCTTTCTCCCATGGAATGGCTGGTGGGTTCAAACCACCGACCTTTTGTTCAGCAGCCCAAGTGCTTTAACTACTGTGCCACCACAGTGCCTTCAAGAGAACAATAACCAGAGTTAAATAATTAGAAAGTGATGAGTTTAGAGTATTACTCTGAAGTTGCAAAGGCACGTTGAACTGAATCTGTTCAAAATCAGGCCTGCTTTCCCTTCAGACCTTCCTCCACCAGCCCTGCATGCACATGTCACACACTGAGGACGTTTCCCAGGAAGACAACAGATTCCTATCACCACTTACCCCCTTCCCCCACCATCACCCGGCCCAAGCCTCAACCTCCCCATACAGTTCCACCAGGATTAAAGGCCTCAATGTATAAAGCAAGATGGCACACCTGGAGAAGAAAGATAGCATCTCTGTGATGATGGGATAGGGAAGAAGGATGCAGAAAAAGAATGAGCAAACCACCCAGAAGAGGCAGATACTTCTGACGGAAAGTTTCCCTGCAACGAGGGATGCCATGAACACAGGGAAGAGAGAAGGTCCCTGTGAGGCCTAGAACTGAGAGAGGATTACTCTGACTCTATACGGGTTCTCAACACCACTAAGAAAAAGACGATGACTTTCCAAGAAAGTGGGCAAGCCCAGCAGCAGGGGTTCACACAAAAGGGACCCCGAAGTGATCCGTGAACACGGCAAAAGGTGGGGCGACACCGCTTCAGGACACTCAGATGGCAGCAAACTGCAATGGCTGGCGCCGTGCAATAACCTAAGATGGGTGGACACAAATATTCACAGCAGCATTACCTGCAATAAGCGCCGGAACCAGCCCAGACGTCACTCCACATCACAGTATACTGGTCCATGCGGTTGATGGAAACGCGTGTTACTAGCACAGAGAGCTCAAACGTACCCACATGAAAAATGGGGGGCCCTAGGGAGGGGGACAGGGCCCTATGGAGGGGGACGGGTATACACAG